ATTCATGTGATAAAAAATATTATTTTATTTTAGACTGTGTGGTTGAAAATAAATTTTGAAAAAATGTATTTTAAAAGAATGTGTGCCAAACAGGGCTTAATTCAAACAAAAATTTTAAGGTTCTAATGAGAAGACTTCACGTTTAAGACTTCCAAAAAAAGTTAAGTGAACAAGGAAGACTGGAATATGTTTTATATGTATATAATGATATTCTTAGTATGTTGTGTCATGTTTATCCGATAGCACCTTTTTGCTTGCAATATGTTAATAAGTTGAGTGTCTAATGACCAAATTAAATTATGACATTTTAATATGTTAAACATATATATGTTTTTTTTCATATTCCGTGAAAATATCATAGAAATCCAAGTTTGTTTGGTCTATAAACCAAATATCAATTTAATGCAGCAAGGTAGAGGGTCGAAATAAGAAATGAAGTATGTTTTGGTAGCAATTGAATCTTAAAATTCGAGGTGTTAGTGCCTGGTTTGTCTGAGAGTAGCCTGGATAGACAATGATGCCAACTTGTTATACCCATTAGCTGGAAATGGTTGTTAGTTTAAACAATCCAAACAAGCTAGAAGATCGAAATAAGAAATGATGTTTTAGTAGCAATCGAATCTTAAAATTCGAGGTGTTAGTGCCTGGTTTGTCTGAGAGTAGCCTGGATAGACAACGATGCCAACTTGTTATACCCATTAGCTGGAAATGGTTGTTAGTTTACACAATCCAAACAAATTTGCAAACTGCAAACTTACATGACGCCTCTTACAATAAGCAATTTGCTTAAATTTTTCATTAGACTCAAGCAAACGAGAATGAGGGGTATGATGAAGCTCTTGCAAACTATTCACAGAATTCGATGTCTGGCCGTAATTCTGATATGACTAAGCAACATAAGCAAATCCACAAGGCATCGAGGTACCAAGCTATAACTATGGAATGACTAAACCTTGTAGTACGATTGACCGTATGATTATAAGAAATTTCACCCAACTCAAAACGTTGATCTTAAGAATGAATTTATCAGTAACAAGATTATGCAACAAGTTACCACTTGTGTTTGTCCATCAGCTTGCGGATGATAGTCACTATTGAAAGTAGGAGAACTGTTGACCAACTTCCAAGGACTATGCAAAAAATGACAAAATTGTGTTCTATTTCAAAACAATCGAAGTTGGATGACCATGGAAATATACCTTGTGAAAAGACAATTGTACCACAATCACGACATTCGGTGGTATGCTTACATGGAACAAAATGAACCATTTTCTAGAAATGGTCAACAATCACTAAAATGGAAGATGTACACTCAAAGTGTACATTTAGTTTGAGAGCCCCCTCACAATAGAGGGCCCGCTTTTTTTTTTTTGGAAGCGGACCCCCTATTGTGAGGGGGATGTACACCAAAAATTCAAAATGGAATTGTTAGCCCGCTAAGTCTATGAGAAACTCATAACAAAGTCTCTACTGATATCAGACTAAGGCTGCATGAGAATTGGCAAAGAAAGGTACAAATCGATGATGGTGAGCGAACCACGACCATGTGACAGATATAACATTGTCTTACCAAGCATTATGTTGGTCCTAGAACATAACAAACCATTTTGTACAAAACGTTAAGAAACTCAAAATTGCAGAAAAACTTAAAACACAAGAATTGTTTTTGCTCTAAAAAGGGCCCCGATGTTTAATCAATTGATCTAATCACCCATTGAGCATATGTCAAGAGATATTGCTCCAGATCCACTAAAATCAAATAAGATATCGTACAGAATATGTATGAAGAAATCTCTCTAATTTCTTCAAGTTCTTTCTAACCTCTCTATATACAATCAGTAACAAAATATTTAGAAATCTCTCAAAGATTGTACTAAACAACACTCATTCTTACCAAAAGAATAGAGATTACAACATAAAGATCAGAAGTTACAAATTTTCAGAGAAACCCTTATTGACTCAGAGAGAGAACTTTTCAAACCAACACCCGGAAGAAGAATAATGAAAGACCAAGTATAATATCTATCCATATCAAAGCTCAGGATTTAACCACGTGTACGGCAGATCACAACCCGCTCAAAGAGCCAAAAAACGGTTTTAATAACTGGCCTCAAAACCCATTTTCAAGAATTAACACAGTCCTACTTATTTAACACATTCACAATGAAACCTCACATTGGATGGCTAGCTAAAAAATGTTTTATCAAAGTGAGTTTGAGCCTGTGTCGGACAATTCTATTGACAATATCTTAGACCACTACAATGGGAGCAGCAGTCTCCCTTGCTAGTTGCAACCCATCAAAGTTGCGAGTGTGGAATTAATTGTAGCTCCTTACCGTGCCTGGTTGTGGGTGTAGGAAAAACATCTGTAGAAGCTCTGGTTTTGAGTTGGGACTGAATAACAAACCTCCACTACTAAACCATTAGCAAATCTTCCGATCTATCATTTTTAGTATATTATGTATTAAATTATTTTTAAAAATAAATAAAATTTAAATACATAAATGAAAAGGAAAAATTGGAATGCTTTAATTCCGATCTATCATCTCTCTTAGAAATTACATTGGGACAGGCCTGCACCATTGTTGAAACAATTAAGAGTTCGTTTGGTTTGCATTTCAATTTTGAGATTCGAGTTTGTTTCTAATATTTTGTTTTGAGTCTTTTACAAGATTGCTGAAATTGTGTTTGACTTGCCATTCTTAAAATTTATTTCTCAAAACAAAACATTAAAAAATGTATGATATGAAAATTTTAGAAATTGTTTTATGATATTTTATTTAATAAAATTTGATTATTCAGCATATTTGAATAATTTTATATTTTATCAATAAATTATACCGTTTTAATTGAAAATTTTAAATATTTTTTCACTATAAAAGTAAAATAAACATAAACAATAAGTTAAGTCCTTGTTTGGTCCAATTATTTCCAAAATATTTTTTCCCTCTTTATTTTCGACCATACAATTTTCAACAAAATAATATTATACACAAACTCGAAATTTTTCCTTATTTTTTAACCATATATTCTCCATCAAGACACTATTCAAAAATGCATTTTGGGCAAAAAATGGGGGTTCAAACAGGTTCTAAGTTGGTAAAACATAGGAAATAAAAAATAAAAATTAATAATGTGGACCAAATTATTTTATCTGTGTTTATTTAATTATATATATTTTCTAGAATTTTCATCTAAGCCCCCGTTTGACACCCATTTTTTATATCATTCTCATTNGAATTTTCATCTAAGCCCCCGTTTGACACCCATTTTTTATCTCATTCTCATTCTCATTTTTCTACAGTACTCATTTCTAACCACACATTTTTCAAATAAAATAATATTACACATAAACCCAAAAATTTTTCTTACTTTTTAACCACACATTCTTTACATCAATCACTATTTAAAAACTCATTCTTCAAAATAATGGGTGTCAAACGGGGCCTAAATAAGTAATAAGATCTTGAACTATTTTTATTTTTAAAATTTTTATTTTAGAATTTCTTAGAATTTTATTTTTTCAAAAATCTATTTTTTATTTTTTAGAATTTTTTTTCAATTTTTAATTTTTAACAATTTATTTTTATTTTATAGAATTTAGAATTTTTTAGAATTTTAGAATTTCTATTTAAATAAAATTTGTATTTAAAAGCTTATTTATATATTTGGAGTGTTTTCACTAAAATTACTGAAAATATCAAAAACACATTTTGAGAATTAAAAGGGTTGAAAAACACTAAAGGTCACCTAATTTTGAGAAAAAAAATAAAAATAAATCCATTTTAGTGATTTGTTCCAATCTTATTCATTGAGTTCTGATTTTTTATTCAACGACAATTGCATCACACGCATATATAGTATTAACGTAATAAAGTTGATTAGTTGTCTAGTTGCATAATTATAATGTGTCCACTGTAAAAGTCACGTTTACCGTCACATTTTGATAGCAAAACTTTCGGATAAGATTTGCATCACTATCCATTTAATGCAATAATTAATATCACATAAAGTTAACGTTATCTACCAGATGGGACGGAATTATTACCGGCAATAAGAATTGAAACGAAATTAAAACCCGAGTAACTAAGGCCGTGTCTGGGATTGATTAAAATCCCATGAAAATCCATTTGAGGACCGTTGAAGCCAGTCAACGGTAACATTTCTGATTTTGCGGCTGCTACACCTGTGAGAAACGGTCAATTTTAACGGCACAAAAATCGATTCCTTTGGGGAGGAAAATGGGCACCGGACAAAGCCTAAAAAGGAGTTTGAAACAATAAAGTTATAATAAACATTGCATCGCTGTCCGTTTGCTGCAACAATTAATGCAAGAAAAATCATTTGCCAGATAGGATGGAATTATTGTTGGTAACGAATAATGAGTTTGAAAAAAAGTTAAGTGACTAAAGTAAAACTTATCTCAAAGTTGGGTGACTTCCATTGTTTTTTCCCCAAAAAAATAGTATACAATTTCAATGGAGAATAGAATGTGGGTCTGTTTTCGCATTTCCATAGTTTTTATTATTATTTTGTCCGTTTTGGCATGTATGTATGTATGTATTATTTTGTGCTGAGCTAGATTGAGCTCTCAGATTTTTGCAGGGAAGGATTCTGGGCTTTTTGTTCTCCTGTAGAGAACGTTGGATCACACTCGCTGCATGCAAACTTTAATATTTTATCCAGTGTTTCTTCTTCAGGTGAGTATATTTCTACCTTTCTTTTCCCTTTTGATATCTTTGCGCATTTTCTTGGATTTGATCTAGGTGTTAATTTCTGTACCCATACTTAATTTCCTGCGGAATTTTATTAATTTGTAGTGCATTTTTGTTCTTTAATTTGATGGTTTTTTTTTTACCTTTTGTTTTAATAGATTGAATGTGCATTTTGTGCTTTGTTTTGGGTTGAGTTTCAGTTTTCTGTTGATTAAAGGGTTTTTTTTGGGAATAATTTCAAAAAAAGTTAAAATTGAAGAGTTGGAGAGAGAAGGGAGGTGTTAAATGGCAACTCAAACAATGGGATCTCATGGGGGCCGTAGTAGCAGTATTAGGGGAGATCCGACCCAAATGCGAAATCAAAGTCAGGACCCGAAATCGATACCACTGGATAGGCAGGGGTCCTTGTACAACCTTACTTTTGATGAGGTGCAGAATCAATTAGGGGATTTAGGGAAACCATTAAGTAGCATGAATCTAGATGAGCTTCTCAAGACTGTTAATCAAGCTGCGGGAAGTGTTGATTACACGTCTGCTGCACAAGGTCCCTCCCAATCCACTTCTGGCTCCTCTTTGAATAGACAGTCGAGCCTGACACTGTCTAGGGATTTGAGCAAGAAGACTGTTGATGAGGTATGGCACGATATTCAGCAGGGGCAGAAGAGGAACAATCTTGACAGAAAAACCACTCTTGGTGAAATGACGCTGGAGGACTTCTTGGTGAAGGCAGGGGTGGTTGCTGAGTCATCTCCAATGGAGAAAGGTTCAGGCTTAGTTTTAGGGGTTACAGATCCGATGGATCTACCACAGCAAGCTCAGTGGATGTCATATCAGTTCCCTTTAATTAACCCACAGCAGCCGCAACAGCAACAGCAACAGAACATGCTGCCATTTTTTGTGCCTGGCCAATCAGTTCAACAGTCTATTCCCATTGGTGGAGATCTGATGATAGATGAAGCGTATGCTGAAACCCAAATGACAATGTCTACATCTCCTTTGATGGGGGGCACTTCGTCAGATACACAGACACCTGGGAGAAAGAGACGTGCTCCTGATGGAGTGACTGAAAGGACTGTTGAAAGGAGGCAAAAGAGAATGATTAAGAACCGGGAGTCTGCAGCACGATCAAGAGCAAGGAAGCAGGTGAACTTTCATATCCCAATTGTGGTTAGTATATTCTTCATCTCTTTACCTTGACTATAACCCGTAAGATATTGCTTTGTGATCTGCAGGCTTACACTCATGAGCTGGAGAACAAGGTTTCACGTCTGGAGGAGGAGAACGAGAGGCTTAGGAGACAAAAGGTAAGGCTTTGCCATACGCATCCTCAACATATTTGTCTTTTTGTCATTTTAGCATTTCATTATCATATATCGTCTAACAAAGATGTCTGCACTGTATTTACCTACTAACGAGCATTTTTGGTGGTGGTACTGAAAATTAAGAGTATGTATCACCATTTATCTCCAATGTATTTATTTTATGAATTTTTATTGGTAGTGCTTGCACGAGTTAACATTCTTTTTTCATTAGTAGTTTTTCATTGTTATTAAAGAATTGTTAAAAATACAGAATGGTAAAGCATTGTTTTTCTGTGCGCTCATGAATTTTTCATTATCATATACGTCTAACAAAGAATGGTAAATATTTTTTAATAACAATGATGCTTTCATATAGCATAGAATCTTTAGCTTGCTAAAAATATTATTAACCAATCCTACAACTTCAATTTTCTAAATCAGTTTGTGGAAAGTACAATATAGAATAAGAAAGAGTACGTGCACAATTATATACAAAATAAATAAAGAGAACTTTTATGCATAAATTAGCAAAAGAAAATAAAGAAAACAAATATAGTGAATCCCCTTCTTGAGTACACAGTTTGGTTCACTCTGTTACCTCTTACCGATTACCATCATGCAATCCTCCTAATAACACAAGAGATCGGTCTCCCCAAAATTCTTATTTGTCAAATTCCAAAATGATCCTCTCCATTTCGTTTCAGTACCATGTTAGTGGAGGCCATTTCAGGAATTCTTCCAAAATCATTGAATATGCTAAATGTTACCCAATGTTCTTCCAAAAGTCGGTGGCATCAATTCACTAAAATAAACCATATATCTTAAATTTCCTTGCAAGGTGCTTCACTAATATTATGTTTTCCTAACATTTGCCAGCTTTCCGGTTTGTTAGAGCCAAGTTAAATGAGACTAACTTCACCTAGTTCCCTTAGATATAATTTAGGTCGTTCCTATGGTAGGACAGATAATCTTTTAACGAAACCATCCTTTTCGTCACCTCATCATAGACGAAACTTAACTCGTAAAATGATTGGAGCTGTGAGTTTCCCTTTGTGTTCTTGTCACACCAAGTTTATTGCTATGCACCGAATAGTTTTTCTAACATCTTGTCCCCTTTAAAAATAAATTTATAGCCTGTTTGAACCCTATTTTTTTTTTTTGATGAAAATGCATTTTGAAATAGTACTTCGAAGGAAATTGTGTAGTTAAAAAATAAGGAAAAGTTTTGGATTTGCGTATAATATTATTTTATTGAAAAATGTGTGGTTGAAAATAAGAGAGAAATATATTTTGAAAATAATGGGGACCAAACAAGGGCTTAATAGTTGAGGATTAAGAAAACAAAAAGGAAAATAATGTTCATGTCCTAAAATTTCCCCTTGTTCTGGCTCATATTTTTCCCTCTTTTGACATGCTGGAGCCACAAGTGATTCCTTTATGAGAATATTTTTTCCTTAAATCGTTGATATCCATGATTCAAACAGAATGCGAAGGCTCAGCACATGCTAGTAGTTTCACCCTCTAAATACACAGATCAATTAAAGAGTACAAGTCATATAATGTACTGTATTTGAAAACGTTTTAGGTTGTTATGACACTTTTCTATTTCTTCCCTTTCTCGATTTGATGCTTTGCTTTCTTTCCTTGTTATATTTTATTTTTTTCTACTTAACGCATTTACTAGTCATGGCTGCTGATTCATCAATATCTCAAGAGAAACAATGAATTTTGCTGAGTTACTAGATACAATAAAAACATGCCCTACTACTCTCTTCAAACTATAAATTATAGTTCTACTACTGAATGATTTTGTATAGAAGATTTTATGTCTTAAAGATTTAAAACGAGCTTAATTATATAGAGGAATTGATAATTTGAAGAGGACTGAGAAATAGGTATAACTAAGTTTATGAGATCATTAATGAAGCTCAATATCTTATGATTGCACATATAATTAAAGAACAAAATTAGAAAACTTGAAATTCTTAAATAATTGTCAAAGGCATTATCAAATGTTTCTTAAGTGGTAACAGATTCAGAAAGAAGAATGTTTATTTGGGGAAAAAAACATTCTGTTTCATAGTCACTGAAGGACTGAAACGTCAAGTATTTACAGTATGTTCTATAACTGTTACTCCTTGTTGCTAAACAACATTATCTTCCCATACAACTTCTCAATCTCATGCTATATATTACTCTTTAAATAGATATCTGACCCCTCTAAGGATAAGGATTTTCCTTTGACAATAAACTGAGCTAATTTGGTGTTGGGGACACAATTAAATCTTTTCACGTTCTTCAGTTACCCAAAATTTAATAAACTGTTTCAGGGAGCTTGAGTGGGTTGACTGATAAAATGATATCACATTTTGGTTTCTAGTGGCGTCATAGTAACATTTTCTTCATCTGGATTGTGAACTGTTTGAATTTGTTTAAAATTTTACCAAAACACTATTAAACTTCCCTTTTTAGTCCTGAAATGTCAAACTTCACTTGGTATTGAACTCCTGTGCAATTTATAAGGAATAAAAGCTTTGCGTGGACTGCATACTCAGACAGTCACAAAGCAGGTTCAAAGATAAAAAAACGTGTCCAGTATGTTGAAATTTACCACTAGTATACCTACTGGTATAAGCTCATTGGCTCTTGCAATTTTTTCACTTCGAAAGGATTTTCTGCAATCTCTTGAAATTGGTCTAGAGTAGGCCCTATGGTTTATTATGCACTGATTTTACGTCATTGAAGTTGATCTGTGAAGAGTCCGAAAATAGTTTGTTTTCACTTTTAGCTTGATTTGTTGTTGAAATAAGTGTTCAACGAATAATCAAAATTTCAGCTATGAACATGGTTCAAAAACTCCTTTTTACTTCTTGGGTTTCTCAACTCGTCTCATGTCACTAAGCTTTAGTTCCTATATAGCATATATTCCTTCATCTTCCTTTCTTTCTGTATTGTCTATCGTAATTGATCGAGAATGATCAAAATGACCTCAAGAGTTCAAAGGAACACTTGATCTGCACTTCATCAGAGACACGGTTTAACAAAACAATTTGACAAATCCAATAGGACAGTTCTCAGTTCCTCTCTTACCTGGACATAAAAACCCATTTGTATTTCCACGAAAATTCCAATATTTTCCTATTCTGACCACCCAACACTCCATTCTTCATAGAAATCCCATCTTGAATCTCAACCTCTAAATTTCTTCTTCAAGCTCATCACGTTCCAAAGATTAATGCTCCTTTTCAGCGTGACTTTTATCTTCACCTTGAGTTTCTTTCCAACTCATCGAAGAGTTCCCTCCAAAACTTGGGGAAAATATCAAAGTTTTCCAAGCTGTCAAGAGCTGAAGGCAAATATGCTTTACTGTAGAAATTTAATGCCTTTGGAATCCCAATTTAAAATAGGTAAAAACAAGTGCCAGGAGCTGTTTTGGTCAGCGTGTAGAGAAGATTGTGTTGGTGGTGCTTCTGGGTTTTTAGCAAGAGTTTAACTCCTAGGAATAACGGATTCTTGCATATGTTGTATATGATGTGAAAAAGGCTTTGCAATTGTACGTGGATGCTGAAAGGCTAGTTTTCAAGTAGTGAAATTTGAAGAGAAAACCTGATTGACAATTCATAGTTGGGATGGAGATAGGTATTATGAGAGGGATAGGTTTGTGTATTTATTATGCAAAAGGAAAGCAAGAGACTGCTAGGAGTTTTGATGAGAGGAAAAAGAGTCGTCTGGTCTTGCATGATGGAGGATTGTGTGCCTGGTTTATATCATGTGCATTTTAGCCATTTGGCAATTTCTGTCCAAATTGATGAATGACTTCTAATTGCAGCATGTAAAATGTAATTTCTCAAATTACAGTACATGAAGCATTACCAAACTCAAATCAATATATTGGGCATGACTTTATGTGTTGCAAGTAATCCTTTTTCAACTTATGCTGAGCCAACTTTATTCCAAAAAATTACCTACTTCTGCTCCCCATAATGCTTCTCATTCTTGAACTTGAAATGAGATGTGAATGAAGAACATTCTCTTGTTTGGTACACAGAGTAGCACTATCCTTCTGTCTTATTATAGAAAAGCTTTATACAGTATCGAGACGTGTATTCAGGACCTTGGAGATCCTGTCTGAAGTCCTGCATAGAATTATATATGACTGCATAATAATCCTCTGGTTTAAAAGACTCTTGACAGATAATTCATTCCATGTAAGTTTTTATGTTAAAAAGCTCCAAGCTGAAGTCTTCTTCTCGCCCTCTGTTAGTGCAGGCATGATGGACTCCTAGCACCCTCGTCCTTTTGTGCAAGTAAACCGATGTCATATGATCATTTTCCTTGACTTGAGTTCGGAAATGATGCATTGTGAAGTCTAGCAATCCAAGCATGCATTTAATTTTGTAATTAGGTCGTCAGTTAACTTTGCTTTTTGAATAGTGCCATGGCCCGCCTTCATTTTTTCTTATGTTTCTAAGTTTATTCAGCAGTTTATATGTGTCTTAGATTTCTAATGCCCAATTTTGAGGACAGGATAAAGTTTTAATCCTGATGCTAAAATCTTCTTAAGAATTCGAGTTTCCAACTACATTAACAAGACTTGCGACATCTATGATTCAATTTTGTATACATGATGTGCAAATTTCATTCCTCTCTAATTTTACATCCTTTATTTCTGTTCTATTCATTTTTGGAACTGTACCTGCAGGAACTGGAGGTGTTGCCTAGTATACCACCACCAGAGAAGAAGTATCAACTCCGTCGAACAAGCTCAGCCCCAATATGAGTGCTACGTAGATTCATCTTGTTGGTGTTTGTTTCTTTTTACTGTTTATGCGCGTAACTATCCTTGTCCATACGACAGCTTCGGGATGTTATCTTCTTGGTGCCTATTTTGCTGTAACATCCCTTGGCTGTCCTACCCAGTCGTGTCGAACCTTTTTCCTACATGTACATTATTTAGTTTTAACTTGGTATTTGTGAAACTCTTTTTGATATGTGGGCATTTACCATCAAGTTTGATGTCTGAAATTTTGAAAGAATATATTGAGTCTTCAACTTTTACCTAGTATTTTTGACCTTTTTTTCTTGACATCGATAATTTTAACCTTTGGGTTAAGGAGGTGGTCCATTTCAAATTTTTCGTTTATATTTAATTCTACTTGGGGAGACTTTGGATCGCTTATGTGACTCTGACCTAGTGATCCCCATCCAAGAGGGAATGAAGGGATAGGAATAGGAATTATAGTACCATTGGAAAAAGGGACAAACCCCCACGTATAGGTGGGGGTTTCACTGGGGCCTGCCAGGCCTCTTGCAACTTGGCGGGCCCCACATGATTTAAAAATGAAAAAAAAAACCCACCCCTCCCCCCTATGTCTTGACTGTAAACCCCCCCCCCCCCCCCCCTTTCCCTGTACATCTAGCAAGCACCTATCTCACTATTGTTTTAATTTTTTTGGTTGGTGTGGTTCGGTCTTTATCATAACCGAAGGTAGAGCTCTAATGTCGATAGAGAAAGTCATTTCCTTTTTAGCTTTGATATGACAAAAGAGTGAATCAATTTTCTACAGTAAAATTAATCCCCACGGCTTCAAAAAATCAGTCACAATTCATATTGAGGCTGAAACATCCTTTGACCCCATACAAATACTTTTTCTCTCATGATCTTAATTGAGCAGGAAAAAAGTAACAATCGTGTTACTTTTCCTAAAAGAGCTCAGAGATCTCCATAAATCAAACACGGGGTACATGTGAAATCAATATAAATGAAGCATATTCTCTAGAAACAGTATCCAATGTTTACCAGTGAAAGTCGACAACTAAGATGATTAATAATAAAAATACGACATAAATGTATGCTAGATATATTAATTCTTTCTGTATCAATATGGCACTGCATCCTACACAACGTTGTCATAGAGCGTCGAGGACTAGTGCATTAACTGCTATTTTGCTTCCGTCCAAAACTTTCATGGTTCGCACAATCTCCAGTACAAAGACATTAAGTTGAGCGATTCTAGTTCTCCATAAACTTGTTATGGACAAAAGATAGGCATGATCCAGAGCAAGCCATGGAGCAAATATTCAGATGCAAATGCAGATTTAAGCATCCTTGCTGAAGTTTTGAGGTCATATTTACCAGGAAGAAAATGAACGTCTAGATGATGGGTCTTTTAAGTTCTGTAAGAGGACACCATGGATTACCACAAGTTACTATGAACGTCTAGATGATGGGTCTTTAAGTTCTGTAAGAGGACACCATGGATTACCATGAGTTACTACCGGGCTCTTTTAGCGGAATAGCCTTGGCACTGATCTTTTTGGAATCTTGCCTTCAAGTTTTAGTCTTCTATATGCTTCTCTCATGTGGCATGGCCTGATTGGCCCAGACTCCCTTCTCTCTGCCATCACTATTCTGGCTGCAAAATTGAAGAGCTTCAGTACAGTTCATATTGTTGTATCTTTATTTCAGAGTATAACACACAGAACACATTTAAGTGTTATGTTCACAAATAGCAAGAGAATCTCTCCAATCCAATAATAAATAGGATGAGAATATGAATTACCAAATACTGAATCAGCATACCAGTTTCAACAAGCTCCCCAACAAACATTTTTGCTATTCCGGATACCACAATGGTCATAGGGATAGAAGTTTTGGCACTTCCAGTTATGCTAGTCAATAACTGCAATTAGAACACAGTGAAAGATTGTGACAATGGCCATTGCTAAAAGAGTTCATCGAACAATTTTGTTATTTCATGCAATACTAGATGGAGAAAGAGGAGGGGGGACTGCTGAGCATAGATTACAGGAATGAGATGACACCTACCCTTTTCATGTTTGATTTCTGAAATCCAGATCTTCGAAATGATTCATACCTACTCATCTGTTCCTCTGTAAATTGAGAAAGAATAGTCCTGGCAAAGAGAATGAGTTCAGAAGAACTTTAAAATGAAAAAAAGAAACAGGAATTTTAAGATGAACTAAAGAAGTGGTTTTTTTTTTTTAATTTACGAGATAAACCATGTAAACCTTCACAATTGTGATTCACCAGTAATGGGAACACAAACAAATCTTATTCTTCTACTCCTTTATAAAAAAATTCATCTCTTTGTTCTTCTATTTGATTCTCTCTTCAATTAGACAAAACACCACTGAGGTGACTGAAATAATTCTTGTTATTTCGAGAACATATGTGCTATCATTCTACTACTTAATGAAATTTCACTGACCAAGAAATCAATGATATCTTGACATTAGTTAGACACTGACATATATATACAAATGAATTGGTTAACTCACTGCATAGTGGCCACTTTATCAGGATCGTCACTAGATGGGAACTTGCCAAGCTCAACATCCATGTTCTCTTCCTCTTCTTCCTCTTCATCTTCTTCTTTAGACTTGCCAACAGGGCCAGCAGTTGCAACGGAGTTTGAAGCAGCTGCAGATGTTGAAGGGTCTGTAAGATGAAGATTATTACCGATGTCATCATCTCCACTAACATCTAGAGTGAGGGCACCTGGAGTTTTTGCTTCATTCTCATCAGGGCCAGTGGGGGATTCAGGGGGCGATTCATCTTGCTCCTCAAATGCAATTTCAAAAGGATCCTTAAATTTCTTCATTGGAAAACCTACCAACCAATGTCATCTATAGCAAAATTATTCAAATCATGCAGTAAAAGCATATATTTTGTACAAGAGTGACGGAGATAGGTATAAGTTTAGGCAAAAAGACACTGTAATCCACAAATTTCAATTATATTCTATTGGGATACGATTCGAGTACATGAACTGATTAATCATAAATATTTACCTTTGTTTACTACTTGCTCATTCAAAAATAAAAGGTTACTCGTTGTTAACTCACTTTTACATAAGGTTTTCCATCCATCATCTATCTAAAATCCATTCTTCCATGTGACAAAAAAAATCTTACGTGGCGGCTGAAAATCCGTGGCAATTGACGGTGTTAAAAATTGAAAGTTAATTAAATAAGTAATCACTAACCTTTATCTTTGGTTACTGTTTGCTCATTCAAAATTAACTTGCATTTATCTTTGGTTAATGTTTGCTCACTCAAAAAATAAAAAGCCATCTGTTGTTCACTCATATTTACATAAAGTTATCCATCCATCATCCACCACAATTTTGTTTTCATACCATTCAATTTCTTATATGATTTTCATGATTTTTGGATTAAGTTTTGCAAATTACATTGTTCGCTCTATTTTTCTCATTTCTTTATGCTACAAAATTTATTTCCGATTTTATTGTCTAATTTGTTTATATCACTATATATTAAAAGAGGCAAGGTAAATGTTACACGTGTCGCCATTTCCTATTGTCGTAAAAAATCACCGTTCAAAAAAAAAAAAAAACCCTCCAAATTTCCAGCAACGCCGTCCTGCTTCTCCATTATTTCACGTAACCACCCACTCCCCCTCCATTTTCTCATGCAATTGACTTCATCCATATTGCTCCCATCATTCAATCCACCACTGTTAATTTACAAGCGCCGAATTACCGTGTCTGCAATGAGCAAAGAATGAAGTTTCTGGACCTTGGTATTATTTCTCAGTAACATGATTTTTTGTAGGTTGCTTCAGTCAGCTTAGGGGTGGATTCTCTTGTATGGGTGGAGGATCCAGATGAAGCATAGATAGATGAGGGGATAGGAGGATATTCCGGTGATTGAATAAATCCTGTCCTTGTTTAGATCTGACAACAACGTGGTTTAGATCGAGACAACGTTTGTCCCAATACCTTTATAGCGAAATCCATTGTTGACGTTAATAGATTTTCACAAACAAAGAGAGTAGACACAGAGCAATGGATGCTTTGAGGAAGCAAGCCTTCAAACTCAGAGAACAAGTCGCCAAACAACAATAGGTTCCATTTCCTTTTTCATTTTTCTCTATAGATTTTAATTATGGGGGTAAATTGTCATATACAAAACCTAAAATTTGTTATGAATTTGCGAGTTTTTGAGTTAATCTTGATGTGGGTTGTGTGAATTGTAGGCTGTAATCAAGCAATTCAGTGTGAGAGGCTATGAAAGCTCGGAGGTTATAGTTATTGATGAGATTGAGATGCAAACGCATCACCAATTGGAGAATTTGTACCGGTCTACTCGCTCGGGAAGGGTAACTATTTTACAACTGATTGTTGAAGTTAATGATTCTTGTTCAAGCTTCCTTGTGATATGTTCATACAATATTAATTTGGTTATAAGTCATACGAGCCTGGTGATAATTATTGATAAAAGTTAGTATTTCCCTTTCTTAAGAATCTGTTGTCGTTTCAACTGACGAGCTCTATATTTCCTTATGCAGGATTTTCAGAAAGAACTTGTCAAAGCAGCTGAAGCATTCAGTACTGTAGGGTATAAACATATAGAAGCCGGTGAGTATATGCAAATCTCATCATCTGATGTTAACTTGCACGAGTCTACAAGTTGTTGCCAGGAAATTAACTTCATAAAGTGCTCTCTCTTAGTGAAAAGGCCGCGCACGTAGACACAGCACAAGGCCGTGTCTCCGACCGAGCACGAAGACACGAGAACATGTCTTCGTGCGCGCGCACGGAGGTGTGACGTGTCTCTGTGCGCGCACACGGAGGCACGAGAACGTATCTCTGTGCACGTGCACGGAGGCACGACTTCTCGCGGAGACACTGTCTTCGTGCGCGGCACGAAGACATGGCCTTGTGTCTCCGTGCCACATGCACGGAGACAATTTTTTTAAATTTTTTAATTTTTTAACAATGAGATGCATTTTCTAAAATTGTCCCAAAACAATTAGGTTGTGGAGAGAGAGAGAAAATAAGATGGATCAATTGAAGAGGGTGTGTAGAATTTTTTTTTTCTTTTTTTAATTGGATTATATTACAACAAAAATATATTGTAATAAGATGTATATAAATTTTTTTTCTATATCTCAATATGTAAAAATGATAAAGCATCTTATCACATTTTCTAACTCCACTAAAAAACACAACTTCAGGTCTATCACCGTCGAGGGCGTTACCCCCGAACCCCCGCGTGTGCTTCAATGTCATTGTACTAATTATAGAATGTCGTCCTTTCTTTGAGCTGCGATTCATCTGTTTTGGTGTTTTACTCAATCTGCAAAAGTTTCTCAAATACAATTTTTTCTCTTCTCAAATACATATTCACTGGTGAGCTGATAGTTAATGTTATTTTCCTTTTTGAATTAGTGAACAATTTGTCAGATTAAATTAATGTTGCATGCCAATTACAATTTTTTCTATTCTCAAAGTTGAATCAAGATACTATATATATATTTTTTAAATATAAACCATGTGAATGGATTGCATCTGATAACAATCCTCAAATTGGTTTCTTTTTTTTTTTTTTGATAAGAATCCTCAAATTGGTTTCTATTTGTATGTCGAGTTCGTAAATATAATTTGTATATCCAGGCTTATTCTTTATTTTGTTACACACTTATTTTTAACATCATCCAATTAACGTGAAACGCATGTTTGACACACTAGTTATAAAATAAAATTGACAAGGATGATGAATGGTAACATTGTGTAAACGTGAGTGAGCAACCGATAATATCTTATTTTTGAGTGAGCAAGGGTATCGTGAGCAACGAGTAACCTTTTATTTTGTAATAAGCAATTAGCAACCAAAATTTAATTAAGTCCATAAGATTCATATATTCCCCAAGATTGTACTAATCATTTGACGTGTATTTATAAAGAGATGGTCAGTTTTCCCTACTGATACAGCAGCAGACAAACCAGATCAAGAAACAACATTAACATTGCATAAGTTTGTAGTAGAAAGAAAAGAGAACAGCCCAAATAGAAACAAACAATCCAGGAAAAAAGAGATGATAACCGCAAAAAGAAAAAAAATCAAAAGAAAGAGAAGAAACCCATAGCACAGTAAATATAACTACAAAAGAAAAAAATTATAAAAACGATAGGAGGAGAGAAAACCTAGACCCAGATAAAAGAAAAAAATTCAGACACGGAAAAAGAAGGAGAAATTCAAGAATCAGGCGAAAAGAACTATAGAAAAGAAAAGGATAAGGGTAATTACCTGTACCTAATTGCCGTTGAGAAAGTGTGTTGCACTCACTGATTGCCAGTTGAGATGTGCGGTAGTGATTGGGATTTGCGTTGGGGAAAACGAAATTATTTCCAAATCGCAGTGTTGGAGTGGAGACGGCTACTGGTGGTGATTTCTTTTAGGGGGTGGCCGTGAGGTTGCCTTGCGGAATAATTTTCCTTTTTGTAAAAATTCCTCTCTCTCTCTCTCTCTCTCTCTCTCTCTCTCTCTCTCTCTCTCTCT